GGTCTCCCTGGGTCACTGTGCCTTCAACAGCCATAAGAAGAGCCAGGCTTGCACTTTAAATTATGCATAAAAAAGAACACGATGGGCCTCATTACAACAAGTCAATAATGTGACTTGGAAAGTTCACTACAGAATTACATCTTCTCCGGCGCTATGCCGCGTCTTATTAGAATCTCTCTGCTTTTCTAGCGAAGACCTCCACCACATACCAAGGACTACCGATGCTCCAATGGGCCAGGAGCAAAGAACTGGGGTCTTTGAATAAAGTAACGGAACTGTTTGGACATTAAACTACTGTATAATTCACATTCCCATTAATAAAACAATAAAATAATGTATACAGTACTACAATACTTTAATGCTAGTAATACTGAAAAGGTCAAATCATTCTGTCTAACTGATGCCCCCGTGTCACACTGATATTTTTGTTTATAATCATTTATGCACAAAGTGATATATTTCATAACAACACAATGCAACCTAACGTGATACACCTTCCCCTTGTCCCCACCCCCACAGTGATTCAGCCAATCAGATCAATGAAGGGAGACAAAGAATTTGGGCAGGAAAAGTGCTTCCCGAGGCTGACAAACATTGGGTAGTGCTTATCTGTAGTCTCTGTTGGACTGTGAACGGTTCTATTAACAGAGCGAGACTCTTCAGCTGACCATTTTCCACCCCTAACCCATGTTCTGCCTCCACTGCTCTTTGGTAACCCAGTGCTCCACCCTCTCTACATGGTCTCGCAGCAAAAGCAGACTGTGGTACATTCTCCTCTACTCTGGTGATAATGACAGCATGCTTGAGGATCTGTCGCTCTGTTCCTGTCATGTTTACGGCCACGTTTACAGCCCAGCTAATCACCATCTGTTTACTGTTTAGGCCAGGGGTAGGGAACCTGATCCATGGAGGGCCGCTGTGGGTGGGGTTTTTTGGGATGACCTCTTAATCAGCCAATTACAGTGGGTCCTTAGGACTGGAGCTCAGAATCACTTTTTTATTATTGGCTGATTGAGAGTTCATCCCAAAAACCTGCATCCACACCTGCTCTCCATGGATCAGGTTCCCTACCCCTGAATTAGGCTATGTGGCTTCCCGTAGACACTCTACCTTCATGTCTAATCTCCTTTTCTCTTTTCTTGTCATGAACTTCGATCTATTTTGCCCGTCTGTTGTCTCAGACGGGCATCCGGCTCGGCTGTGCACTCACCTCCGTCGTCCTCCTCCCGGAAAAACTCCTCGCTGTCGTTGGCAGAGTGCGACTTCTTCATCTCAGCAATGCGGTTTCGCGGCACCTTGCGGCGCAGCGAGGGGGAGAAGAAGGAGGGGCGGTTCCTCTCAGGGGTGGGTGGGGTGCTAAATGAGGTCACCTGCAGGGCCAGGATCAGGACAAGGGCTGCATTATTACTGCACACAAAGATGCAGCTTTCAAGAGTGGGATTTACGGAAACTACCTACAAACGGTTCACTGACTTGTGATGATGTTTTATGTATTTATGAATAATGTGACTAAGAGTGTGACACTCCAGGAACTTTTTGTTGTCAATTCTGGTCTGACAGGTGTGATGATGCTCATGACAGGATGTTGATGAACAAAAGTCAGACCAGAGACACAAAAACCCCCAGACAAAGTCAGAATTATGAACTGTTAGAGACTGGAGTCCGCAAATCGACACTATAAGAAATACGTCACGCTGTTGCCTCCTAATGAAGTCAGCAAGGTTATCTGAAAGTGATTCTGAAGTGTTCAGGTGTCTGATGGTAAATGTTCAGGTATCTGATAATATATGTTTAGGTGTCTGAAGGTAAGTGTTTTGGAATCTGAAGGTAAGTGTTTGGGTATTTGATGCTGGATGTGTGACAGCCCTGTGCTTATGCAGTGTGAGGCCCACTGCAGTCCTGACCCACTAACCCGCTCATGCAGTGGAGAGTCCTGGTCCTCCTCGGTGTTGCAGGGCGAGGTGTCTCCAGTGGGCACACGGCTCACTGCCATCTCGGCGTGGCCCTTCCCCTGGGGCCCCTTCATGCGGACGAACTCCATGTTGTTGTACTTATAGTAGCCGAAGGACATCTTCTGTGCCATCTTTGCAGCCATGCTAACCTGCAATGGCAGGCATCTGGTACAAGTTAACGCAGCTCAGGCCAACGCAGCTCAGGCCAGCGCAGCCCCGATTAACGCAGTGGAAGCAGGCATGGCTCAGACTAATGTGTTACAGAAAAACTTATGGTACTGCTGCCCTGAAACACATTCTTACTGTATATTCCATGACATTTAGTCTGGCAGAATCAATATTGCAAACTACTGAAATATCTTTTCTATACATTGTCTACAGAGGACTGTAACAAATTAAATTGTGAAGATATATCTGGATCAGAAGACTGATAGCCCCTGAAGATCAGCTCTGTTTTGGATTATTCATATGTCACTGAAGTAATGATTTAAGAATGAAATTCTCAACAGATAACCTACATTCTTATTACGTGTGGATCAGGAGGTTAAGATGGCTAAAATGGATTTTTCTAAGGTTTTCTACTTTAATATGGTATATAATCCCAACTGCTTCAGTTAAAAAGTACATTGGAAAGTATAAAAATCAATTAAAATATGCATAAAATACTTGATGCATTAATACTAATCATAATACAGTAAAATGAACATATTATAACCTCATAGTATACCCAGAAGGCATTGCTTTGATTACCAATGATGCCATGATGTCCATTTCAAACCCCGCCTCTTACCCGATTGTCGTACACCTTCTTGAGCGCCTCGTACCGGATGGACCCCTGGAAGATGACACCCTGGAAGGTGTTGCTCTTGTCGCTGGCCACCAGCTCCACACAGACCATCTCCCCCTCCCCCACTGTCATGTCACTGAACACCTGTATAAATAGGTCAAGAGCAGCGGCTTTCCGTTATCCTTGATAAAATCCCACAGATCCCAGGGCACAGGGAAGGGCAGGACTACATCCTGAATGGGCTGCCAATCCATCACAGGGTACACGCACAGTAAGGGACATGTAAACACACTGATTCACCCCAAGCACCAGTTTGTGGACTCTGGAAGGAAATCGGTGACCAGAGGTAATATTGGCGTAGTACAGAAACAGAAACCTTGACCCTGTCAGTGTAAATCCACAGAGCCACCCACTGAGCCATCTTACGCTCAGCATAAGAAAAAAAATATTTGTTGATTTAAAATTATATAAACTATGCTTTATACAAATGATATCCCTATGTTTTTAAATAATAAATAGGTGCCTCACATTTGCCTCTTATTATTACACAATGTTCATGACCCCGAGACAGTTCACTCCACCAAAGAGCTACCATTTTTAAGTGGTTTAGTAAGGTCTGTGACCTTCAGCTCTTATTATGGATGTCACTTGTCTGTGTTGTTTGTAAAACATGTGTCAAGACGTCCTGATGACTCGTCCACTGCAAACCAAATATTCCTAGAGGTTCCAATAAAGTTAGCTGAACCTAAACCTGAACCTGAGGTGTGAAAAATACACGAACCACTTATGGTTCCATCTCAGCACCTGGAAGACTTGCATGACCATTAAAGCCAGTCTGCTTCCATTAAAACCTGACATAACAAGCTGGCACTGCCTGGTACCCATGAAAGATAAAGCCGTCAGCTAATGAATGAGTGATGGACAAATGCAAGTAAACAGAGCTTCAGGAAATGCAAGGAGATTGGTATAGACCAGTGTTTCCCAACCTGGTTTTCGAGGACCCACAGACGGTCTACATTTTTGCACCCTCGGAGCTCCCTGCCAGACACACTTGCTAGCAAAAATCTGTGGGTCCCTGAGGATTGGGTTAGGAGATACTGGTGTAGACTGTGAGGCTATAATGTGAGAACAGCAGGGCACAGGGGGTCAGGGTGGTCCTGGGTGTCGTCACTCACCTCCTCAAAGTTGTCGATCATGAAGAAGATGTTTGGGTAGCTCATTTTGGACTCCTCGCCCTTGCTGTCCATTGGATTCTTACTGGGCGATGCAAACACTTGCTGAGAGACAAGGAAGGTGTTGTTTTTGTATTTTTTTTCTACATACCTTCAAACTGAGCACAGGTAACACAGTCAGCTAGTTAGTGTCAGTTATCTGCTGTTTTTCATTAATCTCACATAAATCTGCATGCGATGTATGGCTGGGTCCCCACCTGTGATTTTTTTTTGTGAATGTGAATATCTCCTGCATCTGATCGTGTGCACACAGCACATGTCACCACGTAGTGCAGCTGGTGGTGGGGGGAGAGAGAGAAAAAAAGATCTCTATGAGTGTCTGACCCCTGCACACATTCCCCTAAAGGCTGCCCTTGTGATATATCTGGCCCTTGTGATGTGTGCAGGGGGATGTGCAGTCTCAGGAGGCCTTTAGGGGGATGATTAGTCAAGCACTCAGGAAGCCCCTGTATACCTCCTCCCAAGGATCTCTGTGAGTCCCTGACCCCCGTATACATCCTTCTATAGGCCCCCTGAGCATCTGACCCCTGTAAACCTCCTCCTAAGGGTCTCTGTGAGTACCTGGTCCCAGTACACATCTCCCAAAAGTCTGCCTAAAACCTTCGTGCACCCTGATCATTGTTCATGTATTTCTGAATCACTAAAACTGATGATGCAAGTATATTTTAGACTTTATTCCTTTACTCGTTTACATGCTCAAAAGAAACAGAGAAAAAAATAACCCAGTGAAGCTTCCGAGAGAGATAGGTGCCACCCTGCAGCCACCCCCTATGTCCGGGTTAGCCCCCACCCACCTTTTGTAGAATGAGGTTCAGGTAGACGCTCTCTTCCCAGTCAATGTCGGGGTCTCCCAGGCCTGGCAATTTCTTAGAATCCCTCCGAAACACCTCCACTTCCACCTGTCAGACAGGTATGAAACACACAGAGCAGGTAACACTATGCTACCTAAATCGAAAGTGTAACTGAGTATTCAGATTTCCAATAAGTACACTGTCTTCCTTTATATCCCAACACTAAATCTCTAACTTGATGGTCATGAACTTGTGGACGTCCTGGAGGATGAGTACCGAGGAGGAGGAGAGGCCCTGCAGCAGAATGCAGAGTCGGTGGATGGATTTAAGTGGAGAATTCCACAAACTCCAGGGTGTGATTGACCCCCAGGGTCTGTCCCGCACCTGTGTCACATTCCAAGCCAAGCACCTACAGTACCTGCACCAAGCCCTGCAGTGCAGTGATGATGTAATCGCAGCCCTTGCCCCAGTGATCACACATGCAAGCGGGAGACATAATCTTATTTACCGACACCGCCTGGAATACCAAACAGCACCTTGATCCACAGACGGACGACCTCATCGCCACTGCTCTGCTGTGGTGATGGAGGTGGTTTACCAGACCTTAATGCAGTTCTCATTTAGTAATTTTTTGCGCTATTGTTACAGTGAGTGTTGACCCGAAGCACCATATAGTTTTATCTGTTTATACTGCTGGATATTTACTGAAGTATTTAAGTGCCCCCACCCACAGATACAGCAGTTCTTCCCTCAGCCTTCTGGAATACGACCCGTTGGTATCGTGGGTCCAGCTGGGTCCTCATGTGAGCATGTGGGCCCATTGACTGCGTGCTGGAGTTGGCGGCTCCATTTCTGGTCGTGTCTGTGAAGTGCAGCCACGGTGGGGCATCTCCCAAATGGCTACAGCGCCTCTTCGGAGCCTCGGGCCAGCCCAGCTGTCAGTCACGCAGCGTGTGTGGCTGTTGCCATCCCCCCTCGTGCCTTGGCCGTGCCCAGCCCTCGCTGGCTGCCAGCCTTCTGATGTGCTGACGATGCACCGAAAGAGTCACGAGTTCGACCTTGTCCCGCTACAAGGACTTCATCCGGGCTCTTCCTCGCCACTGCGGTTGTGGCTGGGAGCCATCGGGCCAATGGACAGCAGGAGGTGCTCCATCGTCTCTCACAACACCAGCGCCTGGCACCCTCTGGGCTCAGTATGCGCCACCCAAGCACAATAATGAATTTTTACACCATGTTCTACAGTAAACTGGATGCATGTTAGCCAAGCCTCAGAGGTGTGTATTTCACTAAGGAGAAGGTGGCTGGGTTGGGGGGGGGGGCATAGGGAGTGTCATAATTACACAAGAGAATGTACTGTATTACTGCAGACTAGAGGGAGGGGGGCATGTGCAGGTGGCTTCAGGAGACCATTCAGTCAAAATAGTTTGTTTTTGCAACATGTGTGTCAATCCCATGGCAGGCAGATGTCACCTTAACCCAAAACGCTCCAGGGACTTACTGATCCTGCTGTCTGATTCTCATTTTACACCACTTTGGACAAAAGAATCTGCTAAATGTCAATAAATTATATGTTAGCAAGAAATAGTTTTTTTTATAAAATAACCAACTACAATCCCAAAACAATGTATTAAAATATTTAACAATTAATGCTGTGATGACTTCTTGCTGTTTATTGTGTATATGTCTGTATATGTCTTAAAAGAGAGCAAGATGTAAAATGAAGCCGTACCTGTACTTGTATTTGTGCAAATGGTAAATAAAGGATCATTTTCTCTCTGTTTACCTGTGACCCGCACAGATGATCCATCCACAAGAGAAGCCTAACAGCAGCTATCAGCACGCAAGTGGACTCTTCAAAATATGGACTTCGGCCATGAAATGTAGGATATTCATGCTTGAAAGAGTGGAGGAACATTGATTCATTTAGAAGAGTCTTGGATCTGGCAACCTTACCTAAACATTAGACCTCAAATGTGTCTGTAGTTTGGAAAAAGACAGCATGTCGACACTTCTGTGCATCTTTACATCTGCTGTGTGGTGCTGACCTTCTCTGCCGTCAGCAGATCGATGCTCGCTGACTGGTTCACACTCCCCCGTGTGATCTGCTTTCGAGGTCCTGACTGACTTGATGTACGGGATTTCCACACATCATTGAAAAACTAAGCAGTTCCAGAAAAGTGCACCTCCTAACTGTGACCTGTCACAGCTTATGATTGAGAAGGAACCTCCTGACTGTGGTCCTTTGGTTAAGGATGCAAACCCACATTCTGGCTTCTCAGAGCTTCCAGTGTGATGTGCAGCTTGAACCCTAGCAGAACCCTAACTCGTAAGGATGTATGTCCTCACTCTGGCGCATGCTATATTTTTTACAAAAGAAAAAAGAAAAATGTATTGCTCCCCGAATATCATATAAAATAATTAATTACTGTAAAGCAGTCATCCAGGAAGGTGTACATTTTTAGATCACTGTATTTTTGATGCAGCTGAAGGCCAAGTATACTTTTGGTCCCTGTTGAATATGTCACAAGTGTACCTAAAACTGGTGGCCACTGTTCTTCACCAGATGAAACTAACATGCACCTTCTGGTACCCACAACCAGAAGGCTGGGTGTGGATAGGGATGTTCATCCCCTACTCTTAAAAATATATGTGATTAAATGTATTATGACCTGAATAACATGTATAGGTCAGGGAGCCTAAGCACGCAGAACAACTAATTGACAGTTATTCTGTCTAAAATTTTTAATACCAAATAATGTCAAAGCAAAAACTCTAAATTTAATTTTAGAAAAGTAATATTATTATGTTCAAATTATGTTTCAAACAAATGCATTCCAATAACTGAAAATAAATGTAATAATTGTCTTTATTTTAAACTCTTGAAAATGTCAGAAACGGACTGAGTCACTTTAAAAAACTATGTAAATATCAAAGTTTCAGACTAAAAAACAACCAGAAATAGATATAAAAAGGTACTACAAAATGTAAAAAGAATCTACAAAAGGTTCCACAGGTGGAATGTGAAATAATAGCCTGGAACCCCAAGAAAGATGCTCTGGTGAACACGAGATGCCCCATGTTTGCTCTAGTCAGGAGAATAGGGAGCTATCAGCCTGCAGCATTGTGAGAGAAACACTGTTTACTGCCATGGTATTCAGTAAACTCTCATAGGCTCAGAATAGTCACAGTTCACATAGCCTAAAAAAAGTTTAAATAAACAGTCCATGTGTCTTTAAATAAAACTAGATTTAAATAAAACAGCACCACCTTCAGACAAAAATAATTGTAATTTTATTCCCGGGACACCATGGAATACATATGGTTTACTTACATACGAGTACCTAATGTGTAAAAAAGAAATTAGCCAAATTTTTTCCATTGATGAATTTAAGGGCATCATAAAGAATTTGCTGAAGGAGACTTGTAGTTGTTTTTCTTGAGAGGTCAGTATTTTTAAATAGCTGTCTAATGTATAGATTTTTTTCTAACATATCGTATATTTTGTATTTTTAACATGTTGTAAGTTTGTATAGCTGCTACCTTGGCCAGGCTTCTCATGTAAAAGGGATTTTTAATCATAGTGGGACTTCCTGGTAATATAATATAATTTTTTTAAATTAAAAATTATAATTAAATAAATAAATTTAGCTTCAATTTCAGCAAACATTTTGTCTGAGATGGGTAATGGGAATGTGCTTTAGACTGACAGATGTTCACCTTCTGAACTAATGTTAGGGAATTCAATATGCTCATGAACTGAGGGGACATACAGTACACAAGAAATGAATGTGATTTAAAAGCACCCCACCCCCTGACACAGAGGGCAGAGGTCTCATCTCGCTGAAGCCACACTGAGCAAATATTTACACATTACAGCATGTGTCCAAGTAGAGGAGATCCTGCAGCATGACAGACTGAGATTGGTACAGAAAAAGCAATTTGATCATTCAATTTGAGAAAAAAGACGCAGTTTTCCAAAACTCCTGGAAAATGGAGGTAAGAGAATTTACATCATTGCTAGACAGTGATGTTAACAGGAAAGCTTTAAAATAAACAGGCAAATATTGAGGTTGGGGGGGGGGGGGGGGGCACTGAACAGGGTGTGAAGTGCTGATACTGCTACAAAGTACTGGGAGAAACATGCTTATTTTTATGCTATACTCGTATGTAAGGATGAAAAACACAGACAGCTTAAAGGGTCAATCGCAAAAGATTGTATAGTATTTCCCAAAAGAGGTAGAATTCTGCAGCTCCTACGCGCTCCATAATTCATCTTCCGTTGCCTTTAAAAGGAACCCTTTTCATCTGATAAATTTTGTACTAGGCTGTCTTACTGTTGGTGCTGGTACCATTGGCGTCTGCGGGCCTCCTCTCACAGCCGCTAGACTGTGCAGATGTGTACAATGCCGGCTCTAACATCAGTGGGGTATACAAGATTTACCCCGCAGGGCCCACCTCACCCCTCTACGTCTACTGCGACATGGAAACCGATGGAGGCAAGTGGACGGTGAGGAAACACCCACAATAACATGATGTGTCCAGTGGGACAAGAGGGACAGTCATAGAATGATGACACCTCAAGAGGATTGATTGAAGTTAGATCAAGTCAGATTACTTTCATTGCCTTACTTTGTTTGTATGTATATATCTCCAATGGGCTCACCACCTATAGGAGGGGTCATAGGGGTCAGCTGCGAAGTGAGCTGGGCAGTGGCCGAAGGCGGGGACCTTGGCAGGCCGATCCTCGGCTGCAGAAGCTGGCTCTTGGGACATGGAATGTCACCTCTCTGATGGGGAAGGAGCCTGA